TGATGGAGGCAACACCGGAGCTTTCCAGGGAGCCTTTGGGGAGAGTGCTCCCATAGGAGGGCCCAGTGTGTGCAAAGGCCCAGAGGTGTGGGAGCTCAGGCTTGAGCAGGAGGTACAAGTGGTTGAGATGAGGTGAGCACACTGGGATGAGACAGGTTGGCACAGCTGAGGTCACTGTGTTTTTTCCTGTGGGTGGTGCAACCTGGAAGGGCTTTGAACAGGGAGGCTAGGAGCAGAAGCCTAGTCTGGCTGTGGGGTGGAGGGTACCTCTGAGGGGCCCAATCTGAGATAGAATGACGAGGGGGCTGTTGCGAGAGGCTGAGGGAGTAAGTCAGGATGACCTAGTTGCATACTTAGGATGGCGGTGGGGGGTGGGGGAGACTTTTGAGATGCTTGAAGGGAAGAGAGGTAGGTTGGTAGCTGAAGGCAAGTGTAGGGCTCAAGGAAGGGTTTTTTAAAATGGGAAATGTAGGGCTGAGAGAAGAGAGCCAGCAGAGACTTCAGGAGAAGCAGGAGAAAAGGGATGATTGAAGGAGTCACAGAAACATTCTAGGGGAAGGGGGCAGTGGACAGGGCCAAAGCACTGAAGTTGGGAGCAAAGTTAGCTTTCAAGAGGAGGCAGGGCAATCCTGTTACACTAAAGAAGAAGGGATTGGGGGTGGGATGGGATGGAGTAGGTCAGGTCGGAAAGTCTGATGGCTCCCATTTTTCAGCGTGTGAGGTCTTTTGCTGGGGGTGCAGGTGGGGAGGGTGGAGGAGTGAGCTGTTCTGGATCCTTTGCTGTGAGGAGTGCAGGGTATGAGGTCTGGCAGGCCAAATACCTCTGCACTCTTGGCACCAAATTGGTGGCAGGGGAGGATGACTGTTTCCCAGCTTCATCCTTGTCCTCAAATGCACACAAGTTTTCCTGTTCCCATCTTATGGTTTCTTTTCTATCTTCACTAGCAAACTACAGAGCCACACTTCCCTGAGATCCTCTTAATTGCTATCAACAAGTATGGCGTCAGCCTCATCGATCCCAGAACCAAGGTAAGGAGTGACAGGCGGGGGCAGGCTGCTTCTGCTCAGTGGCCTCAGAAGGGCCTCCACCTCTAATGCAGCACACCCTGGCCCTGAATCCAGAAAGCACCGCCAGCCTCAGCCTCACTCTCATCTACCCCTCAGTCACACTTCTTGAAAGGTTATCTGTATTTGCTGGGTTCATCTCTTTGTACATCTAATGACCTCTTGTTAACATTTGGCCTTCAGCTGCATTGGATGGTATCAGCTGCTCCTTATTTCCAGAATGCTCTTTGCCTAATTTGGCCAGGGCAGGCAAGTTGTGCTGGGCTAACATGTCCCTGTTGCTCATTTGTGTGGGGCCAAGCAGTCCTACGACATGCCCAGACAGGGGCAGACTGTAGAGTTGATGAAGAACACTAACGACCACCATCTCCTCTTTGGCATGTGCTACACTTACCTGGTTTCCTTGCTAGTCATTTCTTCTGAGGAATTTTTGTGGGTCTCTTCTCTACCCAGCCAATAGTTGTTGCATTCCCCAAGATTCTTCTTGTCTGCCTCCTCAAACTCCCTGGGTGGTCTTACCCAGGTCTGCAACTTCAGTTTCCTTAGGCTTCTCCCAATTTTCCAATTTGACCCAACACCCTTGTGGTCTGGACTGAGTATCTGACCAAGTGGTCTAAATTAAGCCATGGAAGAGGGAGGCACCTGCTTCCTATAGCAGCTCTGTGACAGAGTTGGCTTCTGTTGCTTTTCTTGTCGGAGGATCTTTCGTGCTGTGGTGATTGTGGGCTGCTCCAGGGTATACAGCTTTAGGCCCTTTCTGCTCCCTTAGGACATCTTGACCACTCACCCCTTCACCAAGATCTCTAACTGGAGCAGTGGCAACACTTACTTTCACATCACTATCGGGAACCTGGTGCGTGGGAGCAAACTGCTCTGTGAGACGTCACTGGTGAGAGCCCTTCTTCCTTCTGGGCCTGGGGGGCTCACTGCCTTGTCTACAACTTCAGCCATCCTTCTGGCCCCTGGAGCAAATATGAAGAGGGCTGTAGCTTGACAGGGTCAGGGTCAGGGTCAAGGGTTAGATTGGAGTTAGGGCCATTTTGCAATTCAAGTTAGTGCTGTGGAGGATGTGCCTTCTAGCTAGGGTTAGTGAGTCTGTGGTTGTGGTCCTTTAGCTCCTGAGTTCAAGAGCAGAACCCTTAACAGTGAGGCCTCCTAGACTGAGCTTCAACTTCTAAGTAAGTGTCAGCTGGAATAGCCTTGAGTCATTCCTTGAGGTAGGTGGGCATCTAGAATCTGAAGGGTCCACAAGCTATGAAGTTAATGTGGAATCACAACTTAGGACCTTAGATACAGGGCTCGATGAATCCAACTCTTCTATTGTCCAGATGGGGACATGGGATCTGCCCTCAGTCCTGGGTTGTGCCCACTGCAGTTTCCTAGAGGCTCTGTTCTAGGTTTGAGTGGACCAGCCCTTTCCCACCCTGGTGCTCTGCTTATCTTCTTACCTCTGTGTCCAGGGCTACAAGATGGATGACCTCCTGACTTCTTACATTAGCCAGATGCTCACTGCCATGAGCAAACAGCGGAGCTCCAGAAGCAACAAGTGAACTGTGGTGAGGAAGGATTGGCTCCGTGCTTAGACCCCCATAAGCTACTCCTACAACTGGAGGAAGACTTGGGCTTCCCAGGCAGGGAGCCTGGACTGTCTGACCACCACTGACTGTACCAGCTTGCTCTTTGGCCCTTCTTTGAGTGAGGCAGCCTTGCTGGTACACATAATCCCCACTCCATCCATTCTTGAGGTAGCTGGGTTGGGTTCTAGGCCCCTGGCTTGCTGTGGCATTTTCAGTTTAAGAGTCTGTGATCCTTGGAAGCTTCTCCTATCATACACTAGCCCCACCAGGCAGCCTCCTCCCCCTTGACCTCCTGTGTACCACTGGGACAGAGGACTCAAGAGGACAACCCAGCTCTCCATACTGGGAGCACCCAAATCAAATGTGCATTGAATGGAATATTCTGAAGCCTAAAGGACTGGGATTTCCCTAGACCCAGAATCCTTAGCAGAGGTAAAGAAAACACTTTTATAAACTGCAGTGTGAGTTCGGAGCCCATGCTGAGTCTCCTCTGGTCATCTTGGGGCATAAAGTGTGTGTTTCATCCTCTGGCCCTATAGTCTTTTTGCTGGGGGAGGGGGAAGGATTGTCGGGGCAGGACAGGACCCTGAGGGGAGCATCCTGTATAGCTACTTCCTTGGTCCTGTTTTACAGGACCAAGCTGCTCTGGATTTGGGGATTGGGGAACTTGAGTACAAGGTATGCTGCTAAGTGCTGGGACCAAAGTGTGTGTGCTCTGGGGAAATACCAGGAGTCAGAGTTCACCTGGAAAGCAGGGCACTAAGTGTGCATGGACTGGAGATATAGAGACGGAACCAGCTTCTGGGCTGTAACTGGGACCATTGGAGTCAGAGTGGTCCTTATATCCTGCCAGAAACATCTCTCTGGATCACCAGGCCACATTCAAAAACCCCAATAGCAATGCTCTGTGGGTTAAAGCTTTATATCCAGAGAATATAAAGTGTTACTTCATGACCAGGTGGGAGAAACAAGGTTAAAGCATGACTTGGGCATGTCTGGGACGGGGGACTTCATACATAGCAGTCCTCCTAGGCTGTTGTTGGAATGAGACCATGGAGAAGTGACAGTAAATAATCCCCCTGAGGTACAAGTGCTTGTGAGTCCAAGATTTCAGTCTTTGCCCTTGAAGTTCCTGATACCTGAGCAGCAAGTCCTGTTTCCCCTCACACACCCGAAGTGTCTGATGTCACTCGGATCTGTGTGCTCAACAGCTCCACATGGAGTGCCATTCTTGTTCTTCCCAGCTGTTTGGGAAGGTTGTGGGGAAGTGTCGGCCCAAGCCAGTGGGCCTGATGTGTAGGACGTACACAGTCAGAATGCTCCTTACAAACCAGGATGGTAAGACTTTGTCTCATATACTTTGGACATGTTATAAGGAGGGACCAGTCCCCAGAAAAGGACATAATGCTTGGTAAAGTAGAGGGTCAAAGAAAAAGAGGAACACCTTCAATGAGACAGACGGACAAAGTGTCAGCAACAGTAGGCTCAAACACAGGAACAATTGTGAGGATTGCACAGAACTAGGCAGTATTTCGTTCTGTTGTACCTAGGGTTGCTAGGAGTTGAAACTGACTCAACAGCACCTAATAACAACGTGGGTGTCTAGGTAGCCTAGTTATATGTATATAACTCCACAGGAAGTCCAGGATAAATCCAAACTAGAAAGGAGCTGTAGTGATCTGCCTCTACACCATCATCATACAGACAGGGATTCTGGGTTACAGAGAAGGAAGGTAAATGGGTGATGGTCACACAGTGAAATTCAACTTCTACTAATATGGGTTCATCCAGATAGAAAGGGCTCCAAATGCTTGTTCAAAGCTCTACTTTCCCTCCAATATCAAAGACTGTTGGGAAAGCCTGGGACTGTGCTCACCAAACCATTGAGGAATAAGCCAGTGACAAACTGCACTGGCTTAGGAAGTATCCCATTGCATACTACAGCAGAAAATGTGTATGGTGGCCCATGCCACCACTTATCCTTTAGCTCAGAGTGACATCACTACTACATAGTACAGAGGGTCCCAAAGACATACAATTTACTGTTTAACTTCCTGAGAGGTTGTCTTTATTTACAGGCTGATGTTCACTAGTCACTGCTTTAGCAGGGACTACTTATTACAGAAGGACTGGGATGAGACAAACCCTGTAATTACCCAAACCCATGATCTCCATCTCCAAGGCTGCACACAACTGGTTTTCCCTTGCCCTTGACTTGATTTCATTACAGAAAGGCTGGACCAAAATGGACTTTGGAGAGCCTCAATGGTCCTTATGCATTCCTTTATCACTCCCCACCATCACCCCTGTAGAGACAGAGAAGAGGAAGAAGGGGGCAACGTGTGGTTATTTCCTCTATCAGAACATCTTAGAATCTGTTGTTACAAAGGATTCCTGGGAAGATTCAACCATGGGCATCTCTTTGGATTGTGTTTCAGGATGGAGGTCCTCTTTGAAGGGCATTGAGAGTCTCTGCATCTTAAAGACAGGCAAGGCGGTTTGGAGAGTGGACTGGCTGGCCAGTAGGGTGGGCTCAAAGGGCATCTTGGTGTGCTCTGGTGGCAGTGGTTTGCCATTTTTCTTGAATGATTGTTTTTTGGCTTCCTTCTTGGGAAGCACTGTCAAACGGAAAGCATCAGGGTATTTATTTGCGCTGCTGGCTAGACCTGGGTACAAAGCTTTTGTACTCCATGGACTTTCTGAGATTCTGCTGGAAGACTTTGTGACTACAGCTTCTTGAATGTTTCTCCTTCGAGAACCTGTAGGATAAAAAAAGATTGAAACATGATCTCTCAAATGTCACGTCTCCAAACTCTGCTTGCCATGTGATGAAATAGGGCCCCTCATTTACCCTCCCAGGTTTTCTTCTCCAAGCTCTCCCACTCCAAGTTGCTGTGCAGATGTTATTATGTTCTTTCAATTCTGCCTGGGACTGAAGAGTCCATAGTATGAGGCTCACTAAGGAAGCTCTCAAAAGGCAGGGACCTGACATTTGCTTAAAGTTAATGCATTTGACAACCATTGCTTCCAAATCTGTTTAAATAGAAAAATTAACACACCCTCAATATAATGGGAGCTTGAATGCATCAAAAAAATTTGTGTGTGACTGATGGAAAAAAAAAAGACTCCTAATAATGGAGCTAGGAAATTAGGACCATCCTTTTACTGACGAAATCTAAAACAAGAAAATCGCTTAAAATTAATGCAGAGAGTTAACTCTGAGGAACTGTAAGCCCCAAATCTAAAATAATAATAATAATAATAATAATACAAGAATCCGAAGCAATTCCAGCACTTTATTTTTACCCTGAGTGTAACTTCAGTCTGGCCCTTGGCCTGACCTCCCTATCCTGCTCTGGTGGTGTTTGTTACAAAGCACTTTTAGGGCTGTTGATAAATGCCCACAGAACACAATATTTCACAATAAGCCTCTGCCTGAAGGCACTCAGCTCTAACTCTGTGGGTCAGCAAACCTAGATCCCAATTAAGTGCCTAGAGGCACCTCACTCTGCAAGCAAGCCTCCTGTCACTGAGCTTCACTTGCTCCATGAGCTGGGAGGCCCACCACTCTGTCTTGTGCTCTGGTTCTTGGTTCTGCTACTCCTGCTTTTCTACCACTCTTCTGATGTCACAGCTTTCTGTCCCTGAGTTGAGGAAGTTCACTGTGTAGGGATCTCAGGGTCTGAAGAACATGCTCCACTCCTGATTCTTCTTCGATGGTAGTGAGATCCCCATTCTTGCTTCTGAGGTGGCTCAATTTATACATGTTAATATTCCAGGTTTTTACAACGACAGTTAACCCTGTTAACCACTCACAACTGAATCATATAATCCTGTCAGCAACTTCTTCCACCTTCTCTTAACCCAGACCATAGCAGGGCAGGAATGTTTGGTGGAAGTCACAAAGACTATGGCTAGAAGAGCCATATGAAGTAATTCACTGCACTGCACTAGGCTCTCCAGTACAATGCTGAAGAGAAATACTGAAAGCAGATAGGTTAAGTCCAAAAGTTTTGCTACTAGGGTTCCATTAATACATGCATGGTTTTATTCCAAGTAAAACATGTTTAAACATGTCTCTGAGATCAGCAGATGGCTGATCTCTTAGAATTACACTAACGTTCAAAGGAGAGCCAATCCTTTAAAGCTCATGAGTGGCTATCTAAGGGGCAACTACTGGTCTCTCCTTGTCTGGAGGAAGGAAAAGTAATGAAAATTGAAGACACTTAGAAACAATTGGGCTGGTGGCTAGTGGACTCACAAACATCAGTCTCCATGAAGACCAGAAGAAACAGATGGTGCTCATCTACCACTACCAACCACTCTGAAATAGATCATATTAGAAGGTCCTGGATAGAGAAAGTGTGGAACAAAACTCAAACTGACAAAAGAGAGCAGGATTACTAGTCAGAGATTGGGAGAACCCCTGGACTATAGCCTCTGATCACCAGGGCTAGAACTGATTCCCGTATTACTCAATTTTAAGTCAAGCAATAGATCAGCATGTAGGGGCCAACAACACTAGTGAGGCATGCATACCATAGAATTGGCAAATAAGTAGAACTGAATCAACAGAAAGCCAAGTTAGTGGACTTAAAAACAAGTCTCTCAATATTTATCTGCTAAAGGAACAATCAGAGAAAAGGGCAGCACCAACAACAAACAGCTCCAGGAAAGCCTAAGATTTATGTGAGACGCTAGGAAGAGAAACAATTTATATGTGACTAGAATTCCAGAATAGGAAGAGACCAAAAACTAGAGAAAATTGTCAGAGTTATTGGAAGGAAATTTCCTGAACATCATGAAGGCTGAGAAAGCCATTTAAGTTGAATCAACTCCATAAAGGATTGACTCCACAAAGAAAATCACCAAGATACAACCAAACTTTTCAAAATGAAAGACAAGGATTCCTGACAGCAGCTCAGAAAAAAACGCAGAGTGCCTACAAAGGAGAACTAATAACAAGCTCTGATTTCTCAGAAACCATGCAGGCAAGAAGACATATATAAAACTGAGGAGAGAGAAAGGGGGAAAAAATTAATAAACTAATAAAGAATCTCATGCCTAGCAAACTGTTTATCAAATTTTTGTTATTGCTAGGTTCCATCACGTCAGTTCTGACTCTTAGTTAACCCTGTACACAACAGAAAACACTGCCCAGTCCTACACCATCCTCACAATTGTTACACTTGTGTCCATTGCTGCTGCCATCTCATTGGGCATCTTATTGCTGACCCTGCACTTTACCAAAAATGTCCTCCAGGGACTATTCCCTCCTGGTAACATGTCTGATGTGTGAGAGAAAAAGTCTCACCATTTTGGCTTCTAAGGAGCATTTCAACAGATTCACTGGTTCTTCTGGTAGTCCATAGTACTTTGAATATACCTTCTCAAAAGCAACAATTATTTTACTGTCTTTTTTATTCACTTTCACATGCATATGAGGTGACTGAAAATACCATGGCTTGATCAGGTGCACCTTTATCCTCAAACTGATACCTTTGCTCTTGAACACTTTAAAAAGATCTTGTGAAACAGATTTGCCTAACATGATACATCGTTTGATTTCTTGACTACTGCTTCCTTCGAGTGTTGATTGTAGACCCAAGCAAAATGAAGCATTTGACAACTTCAATCTTGTCTCCATTTATCATGATGATGCTCACTGGTCCAGTTGTGAGGATTTTTTGTTTTCTTTACATTGAGGTGCAATCCATACTGAAGACCATAGGCTTTGATTTCCATAAGTATTTTAAGTCCTCTTTGCTTCCAGAAAAGGTTGTATCATCTGCATATCACAGGTTGGCAACGAGTCTTCCTCCAATCCTGATGCTACATTCTTCTTCATATAATTCAGCTTCTCAGATTATTTGCTCAGCATACATATTGAATAAGTATGGTGAAAGAATATAATCCTGGTGCACACCTTTCCTGATTTTAAGCCATTTAGCATCCCCTTGTTGTGTCTGAACAACTACCTCTTGATCTATGTACAGGTTCCTCGTGCACAATTAAGTGTTGTGGAATACCCATTCTTACAAATGTTATCCACAGCTTGTCATGATCCACACAGTTAAAATCATTTGCATAGTTAATAAAACACAAACATGTTTCTGGTATTCTCTAATTTCAACCAAGATCCAACTGACTTCTGTAATGATATCCCTAGTTCTATGTCCTCTTCTGAATCTGGCCTGAATTTCTGGCAGTTCTCTTGTCGATGTACTTCTGCAGTCATATTTAAATTATCTTCAAAATTTTATTGTCTTCAAAAATATTGTTTGATGGTTTCTGCATTCCATTGGGTTGCCTCTCTTTGGAATGGGCACAAATATAGAACTTTCCCAAGTGGTTAGCCAGATAGCTATCTTCCAAATTTCTTGGCATAGATGAGTGAGCACCTCTAGTGTTTCATCAGTTTGTTGAAAGATGTCAGTTTATATTCTGTAAATTCCTGGAGCCGTGATTTTCATCAATGTATTCAGTGCACCTTGGACTTCTTCCTTCACTGCCACTGGCTCTTGATCATATGCTACCTCTTGAAATGGTTGGCTATTGACCAGTTCCTTTTGGTACAGTGACGCTGTGTATTCCTTGGATCATCCTTTTAACAAAAATTTATTATTGTAAATTGAGTGACGGTTTACATGGAAAAACATACGTTTTGCACTCAACCATATTTTGTTTCACTGCAATGATTACAATCCCCTCCATGCATCACCGGTTAAAAGTATTCCCTCTTTTTTTTTTTTTTTTTTGATGTACACAAAAACATGCAGGAAATATATAATTGTTTAAACAACCAAAGGGCACATTTTCAAGCCAGCATCCTGCCCACCAGCACACAGCCTTTCTCTTTCCATGAGTCTAGAGTCAGCTGGTCTCTCCATGCCATCACCTCTGACTCCATCTCTGGTGTTGCTGCTTCTCTGGTTAGGGTCCCATGTTCTGCGCATGCTCTTCTCTCTGAATGATCCTAGGGTCCTCTGTTCCTGGATTGTAAGATGAACTACTCCTTTTTGTTACACATCTTCTTACCGTTGTGATAATTTAATTACGATTGTGATCATTGTAATTAGTCACAATAACAACTACTCACTATTAAAAGAATCTTACCCCCATCTCCTTACACCAGACCCATCTAGACAAGATGAAAACTATAGAGTGGGGATTCTACCTTTCCCCACATGTTCTGAAACTAAACTCTCTTGAAAACTTTCTAAGTCAGCCACTTTGTGCCTTTATAGCTCCCCTCCCTCTCCCCCCACTCTGATTTTAGGTAGCCAATGTCTAAGTTTCCTGTCCCTATTAACTCTGAGTACTTAGGGGATAGGCTTGATCCTTGATGTGAAGACTGCCTTTCAGTTGGTATTTTGAGCTATTACATCCATAAGTATATGTCAAGTTCATCAAATGGTAGCAATTTACACTTGCTTCCTGTATCAAACTTCTTTATTTACTGATGAAGATCAAAGAGCACCGTCTTCAGTATGGATTGCATCTCAATGTAAAGAAAACAAAAATCTTCACCACTGGACCAATAAACAACATTCTTATCAATGGAGAAAAGACGGAAGTTGTTGAGGACTTCATTTTTCTTGGATCAACTATCAACACTCACGGAAGCAGCAGTCAAGAAATCAAATGACGTATTGCATTAGGAAAATCTGCTGCATAAGACCTTTTAAAGTGTCGAAAAGCAAAGATGTCAGCTTGAGGACTAAGGTGCGCCTGACCCAAGCCATGGTATTTTCAATAACCTCACATGCATGTGAAAGTTGGACAGTAAATAAAGAAGACCATAGAAGAATTGGTGCTTTTGAGTTATGGTGTTGGAGGAGAATATTGAAAGTGCCATGGGCTGCCCATAGAACTAACAGATCTCTGTTGGAAGAAGTGCGGCTAGAGTGCTCCTTGGAGGCCAAGATGGCCAAACTTTGTCTCTCATATTTCTGACACATTCGGACCAGTCGCTGGAGAAGGATATCATTTTTGGTAAGGTGGAAGGTCAGAGAAAAGAGGAAGACCCCCAGCGAGATGGACTGGCCAAGTGGCAGCATCAATGGGCTCAAACGTGGCGACAACAGTGAGGTTGGCCCAGGATCGGGCAGTGTTTCGTTCTGCTGTGCATAAGGTTGCTATGCGTCAGCACCGACTCAATGACACCTAGCAACCACAACAGTCAGATTCTGATCGTCAAATCATCCAAGTTAGGTCAAATGGGTACTATCTGCAAGTTTGGGTGTTTTTACATGTCCCCCTTTCCCCACACTTCATATCAGCTAGATGCTTTACTCTCAGCTCTAGCCCACCATGGCTAGGTCCATGAACTCAGTATAGTTCCCAAGTCTCCCCAAACTTCAGACCAATCAGTCCTTCCTCTTCCCTCTCTCATCTTAAGGTCAACAGGAGCTTATGTAACATGGTCGAACTCAGCCCATTACTGCCTTTCCCCCACTTCTACTCACAAGTAGACCCAATGCGTTCACCAGCCCTTGCATAATTTTTTTTGTAGTAATTTAGTGTCTCTCAAATTTATTTATTGGATAATATAATTTCATAGGCACTGGATAAACCTGATTAAACAACCAAAACATAATGTGGGGGAAATGTTAATTGATGGGACTTTGCTTAGTTCATAGTTTTAAATATAAATCAGAACTAATTGAGCTTATCTGTCTTGAGTTTCCTAGTGCTGCTGTAACACAAACACAAGTGGGTGGCTTTAAAGGAAAAAATTTTATTTTCTCACAGTTCTGGTCTGGGCCCCATCTGTTCCTTTCTTGGCAGTAATCCTGGGTATTCCTTGGTTCCTTGTGTGGCACTTGTCTTCTTTGTGTCAGTGTGTGTCTCATTGTCTTTGCTGCTCTTCATATAGCTCAGAAATGTCAGTTCAGGATCCACCCTTATACTGATATGAACTCACCCTACTGATTAGATCAGAATGCATTATGAAAGGTAACATCATGTGACATTAAATTAAATCCACAACTTATAGGGGAACACAATTCAATCCATAACAGTATTCCCATTCATGTCATGAAGGAATCAGAATATTTCAAAAATTAAAATAATATTAATAAACCAAATGTCTTGCTACTCTGCCTGTCTTCCAGACAATGTAGGAAACACTACCTTTGATCTCTGCCATCCCCAGCGCTCCACAGCCCCTGGCTTTATGACCTCGCTTATGCTCCAGCTGACTGATCAGTACATATTTCATAGCTTTTGCATCCTTTTTTTTAACATAATTAAGAAAATCTTTATGTCTGTGTTATCAAAAAATGGAAAATTGGAAAAATGGCCAAGTGAATTGATTGCAGGTACCATCTTGGCATAAGCTTTTCATGTTTTCTGCATCATTCAATATTTTGTCCATAGAATACTTCAATATTTCAAATCAAGGCTTGAATTTTTTTTCTCCTGATCTTCCGGCTTGAGAAATGCTGAGTTTGTTCTTCCCTTTTGGCTGTCTAACTCCTGGTCTTTGCATATTTCATTATGATGCTTGATTTTGTGTTCTCGAGCTGCCCTTTGAAGTTGTTCAGCTCTTTTCACGTCTTCCATTCACTTTAACATGTCTATGCTGGAGAGCATGTTTCAGAGTCTCTGCTTACATCCATTTTGGTCTTTTCTTTCTTTCCTGTCTTTTAAATGACTTGCTGTTTTCCTCCTTGTTTATCTCTATAATGTTCTTGATGTTATCCCACACAGCTCTTTTGGTCTTTGGTCACTAGTGTCTAATGCATGAAATCTGTTCTTAAGGTGGTTTCTAAATTCAGGCGGGATTATGTTCAAGTCATATTTTGGTTCTTGTGGACCTGTTTTAATTTTATTCATCTTCAGCCAGAACTTGCTTATGAGCAATTGATGATCTGTTCGACAATCTGCCCTGGCCTTGGTTTGGCTGATGATAATGAGTTTTTCCAGTCTCTTTCCACAGATGTAGTCAGTTTAATTCCTGTAAATGTCATCTGGTGAGATCTATGTATATAGTTGATTCTTATGTTGCTTAAAAAAGGTATTTGCAAGAAGTCATTGGTCTTGCAAAATTCTATCATGTGACTCCAGTATCATATCTGTCACCCAGACAATACTCTCCAAATACTGATCCTTCCTCTTTGTTTCCAACCTTTGCATTCCAATCACCAGGAAGCATCAATAAATCTTAATTACGTTTGATCAATTTCAGATGGAAAAAGTTAGTTGTGGTGGTGTTAGTTGCCAAAGAGCAAATCAAAGATTCAAGAGAACTAAATAAATAAAAATGAAGTTACCATAAAATGATACTAAACCTTACTCTTAGTCCTAGCTAAACAATTATCCCTAACACAACCCTAGTCCTAATCCTAAACTTAGTTGTAGCCCTAACCTAACCCTAACTCCTTACTCCTCTATCTCCCCACTCCCCAAATAAATCCAATAAAAACAGTGGCTTTTGAGGGTATCTGCTGGGCCAGTTAAATTCAAAGCACAGTGGTCAGTGACTGTTTTTTTTGGGATTCCATAGGTAGAATCTTGGCTTTCTTGAAGGATACAAGACCATCACGGAGGAGTCTTATTACAAAATTTTAAGAAAATTGAAAACTGCACTAGTAAAGAAAAAGCCAGAAGAGTTGAATTTAGAAACATCTCTTCCATCATGTTAATGCTGCCCATTCTTTGAGGGTAGCAGCGTTGTCCAATGAGAAATCCATTGGGAAACCTTACCTCATCTACCCTACATCCATGATGTTCCCTGTTCAGATTTTTTATTTCTAAAACTCAAAGACCATTCTATAAAAATTATTATTTCAGTCCCTTGAGTATGCCAAAATACCTGTTTGACGTAGTGTAAATCAGAGTGCAGAATTTTATGGGGAAGAGTTGTTATTGTCAGGTACCATTGAGCCAGTCTGACTCACAGTGACATTATGCTCAACAGACAAGACATTGCCTGGTTCTGCACCATCCTCACAGCTGTTAAAATTTGAGCCCATTTTGTCAATACATCTTATTGAGGGGCTTCCTCTTTTGCACTGACCCTCCACTTTTCCAAACATGATGTCCTTCTCCAGGAACTGGTTCCTCTTAACAACATGTCCAAAGTACAAGAGATGAGGTCTTGCCATCCTGACTTCTAAGGAATATTCTGGCTGTAATTCTAACACAGGCGTTTGTTGTTCTGATAGCCATGGTGCTTTCCATATTCTTCTCCAACATCGTAATTCAAATGCATCGGTTCTTCTTTGGTCTTCCTTATTCATTGTCCAACTTTCAAACACATATGTTGTTGTTGTTTCTCCCAACTTCTTCAGTCTGAAATTGACCAAAAATGCAATCAAGATGTATTGATAATTACTGGCAATTGGAATGCAAAGGTTGGAAATGAAGAAGAAAGATCAGTACTTGGAAAATAGGCCTGTGTGATAGAAATGATGCTGGAGATTGCATGATAGAATTTTGCAAGACTAATAACTTGTTCATTGCAAATACCTTTTTTTTTTTTTAAGTTTTTATTGTGAATTATGGAATTATGTGGGTTTACACGGGAGAACATCAGTTTTACATTCATCCTATCATATTTCATTTCATTGCAATGATTACAATCCCCTCCATGAATCATCAAACAACCAAAGGGTACACTCCACAGGCCTACTCCACAGGCCTGCCCCTCAGCCGTCAGCACACAGCCCCTCTCCATCCCCGAGTCCAGTGTCCCCAGCCACTCCATCTGTCCACATCATCATCTCTGCCTCCATTTCTGGCATCACTGTTTCTCTGGGTAGGGTCCTGCACTCCACTCTTCTCACTTGATGGCCCCAGGGACCTCTGCTCCTGGACTGCAAAATCAGTCTAGCAGAGAAGTATGAATATCATGAGAGTGTTGGATTTTGTCAAATGCAGAAAACATATTTGACAAAATCCAACACTCTCATGATATAATCAGCAATTCATCCTGGCTTCTAAGGAGCACTCCAGCAGTACTACTTCAACACAGACTTGGTTGGTCTGGCAGTTGATGGTACCTTCAAGACCACAACACAATGCATCCATTCTTCTATGGTCTTCCTTATTCATTGTCCAACTTTTACATGCATATGAAGTTACTGAAAATACCATGGTTTGGGTCAGGCTCACCCTAGTCACTAGGTGGCTATTATCAGAAAAATGGAAACAAGTGTTGGTGAGGATGTGGAGAAACTGAAACCCATGTGCACTGTTAGTGGGAATGTAAAATTGTGTAGCTGCTATGGAAAAAAGTCTGGCAGTTCCTTAAGTTAAACATAGAATTACAAATGACCCAGAAATCTAATCCAAGATATTTGAAAGCAGGTTCTCAGACAGATACACCAATGTGAAATTATTCACAATAGCCAAAAGGTAGAAACAATCCAAGTGTTCATCAATAGATGAACAGAAAAACAAAATGTAGTATATACATACAGTCAGATATCCTGGTGCTGTAGGATAATGTGCTGGACTGCAAGGCTGGCGGTTCAAACCCAGAAACTCTATATAGGGTCTCTATGGGTTGAAACCAACTCGACGGCGATTAACAAGAGGATATTATTTAGCCATAATTTAGCCATAAAGATAAATGAAATTCTAATGCAGGCTACACAACATGGATGAACCTTGAAAACATTATACTGAATGCAAAAAGCCAGACAAAAGAATGAATACTGTATGATCCCACTTTTATGAAATATCTAGAATAAGCAAATGTTACCAGGAGCTAGAGGGAGGAAGAAATGCAGTTATTTATTTTTTTAATGTTTTATTGTAAATTATGTGATAGTTTACATGGGAGAACATTAGTTTTACATTCATCCTATCATATATTATTTCATTGCCATGGTTACAATCCCCTCCATGTATCATCAACCAACCAAAGGGTATACCCTGCAAGCCTGCCCTTCTGGTCATCAGCACACATCCCATCTCCCTCTCTGGGTCTAAAGTCCCCAGCTGCTCCATCTCTCCATGTCATCGTCTCTGCCTCCATCTCTGGTGTCACTGCTTCTCTGGGTAGGGTCCTGCTCTCCATTCTTCTCCCTTGATGGTTCCAGGGACCTCCGCTCCTAGACTGAAAAGTTAATCACTCCCCTCCTTGCTACAGAACGTCTACCTTTACATTTCCAACCCTCACAATCAGTCCTGATAACAAGTATTCACTATTGTATTACAAGAGACCTATCCACATTTCCTTTCATCAGCCCGGCCTAGACAGATTGGATACTACTCAGTGGAGATTCTACCTTCCTTCATGCCCTCTGGATCTAGGTTACCTCTTGAAAGCTTGTAAGACAGTCACTTCTTGCCTTTGTAGCCCTCCAACTTTGGGTAGCCAATGTCCAGGTTGCCCTTCCCTGTCTACTCTGTGTATGGAGGGGGTGGGAATTATCCTTGCTGTAAAGATTTGTTCCCTCTTTTGAGATACTGCATCCATAGTTGTAGGTCAAGTTCATCAAATTGTTTCAGATTACTTTTTTTTTTCCCCTCTTCTTTCTTCTTTTAGTTGAGCTCTGATCATCCAGTCATTGAAGCCTGGTCAAGTGGGTATTATCTGCAAGTGTGGGTGTTCCTGTGCATATGCCCTCACTTCTTATCAGCTGGACGCTTCACTTTCTACTCTAGTCCTCTGTGGCTATGTCACTGACTATGAGCCGAAGAGTCCCCAAGTCTTGCCACACTGCTGGCTGTGACCTGGGTTAACAGGAGCCTATTGAACGTTGTAGGGCTTAGCTCACAGCTTCACTGCTGTTTTTCCCTCACTTCCCCTTATCAGTGATGAACATAGTCACCAATCAGAGCGTGTATTCCCATTGAGTCTTAGTCTTGGAAGGGGGTTTGCTATGAGGGGACCCGACCACTTGCCTTGATGTCTCCTGGGCGAGCAACTTGCTTGTTCTTGTAGTAATCAGTTGGTCTGCCTATATGGTTTTGTAGTTTTCCTGTCAGTCTTTCTTTCAAGAAGTATCTTCTGTTCTTCTAGCTGCTCCAAGCTGATCTGCCCATCCTTTCAAGTGGAAATTTACCACCTATGAAGATTCTGGATGCTGTTCCGGATTCCACCTATGGTCTTATATAATGCAGAGGCTCTGCAGTAAGCCTACATCACTGGGTACATTGTAGCCCCATTTTAGGTATTCCAATCAGTTATAGGCAGAAGACAGACATATAAACTTTCTATAGTGATATTTCTGGCTATTTCTTTCTCTCTCCCACCAGTGTCTATTTTATAATGGTATGCCAGGGAAATCAAGATTCAAAAGACAGCCAAGCATCTTAACATTATTTCCCCCATTCCAACATGTCTCAATCCTTGTATCCCAGAGCCCTGTTGTTCCAAGGTTGTACATACATCATTATTTACCTCTGTCTCACTTAGCCCATGCAAACCTGCCTAACTGTTCTCCCATATGCTTTGTTTTTCCATTTCCCTCTGCCTTCTTGTATATTGCCTCCCTCCCCAGCACCCAAACTATCCTGTGTCTATTCCCTACCCTGTGCTCCACCTTCCCCTCCCTACCCTCACCCCACCCCCCACATCCCAGCAACCAGCAAGGATCCCCCACCCCCTTTAGTATGGGTTCTTTTTCTTAGTCTTTAACAGTAGTGGTCCTATGCAGTATTTCTCCTTTTGTGACTGACTAATTTCACTCAACATAATGTCCTCAAGGTTTATCATGTTTTGTGGTGGCTTGCAGTTTCCTTGTTATTCTTCAAGGTAGCATAATATTCCATTGTGTGTTATGTACCACAGTTTGTTTACCCATTCTTCAGTTGATGGGCACTTTGGCTGTCTCCATCTTTTTGTTATTGTAAATAGTGCTGCTATGAACATTGATGTGCATATATCTACTCATGTTATGGCTTGCATTTCTTGTGGGTAAATACCAAGTAGAGGAATTGCTGGATTATAAGGTATTTCTATTTCCAACCTTCTGAGGAAGCGCCATATGGCTTTCCAGAGAGGTTGGACCATTTTGCAGTCCCACCAGCAATGTAGGAGTATCACAGTCTGTCCACACCCCCGCCAGCATTTATTGTCCTCTACTTTTATGATCTTTGTAAATGCAATTTTTTAATGTTTTATTGTGAATTATGTGATAGTTTACATGGATAACATTAGTTTTACATTCATCCTATCGTATATCATTTCATTGCCATGGTTACAATTCCCTCCATGCATCATCAACCAACCAAAGGGTATACCCTGCAAGCCTGCCCCCCGGTCGTCAGCACACAGCCCCTCTCCCTGTGTCTGAAGTCCCCAGCTACTCCATCTCTCCAAGTCATCATCTCTGCCTTCATCTCAGGCATCACTGCTTCTCTGGGTAGGGTCCCGCTCTCAGCTCTTCTCCCTTGATGGTCCTAGGGACCTCCGCTCCTAGACTGAAAAGTTAACCACTCCCCTCCTTGCAAAAAACATCTACCTTTACATTTCCAACCCTCACAATCAGTCCTGATAACAATTATTCACTATTGTATCACAAGAGACCCATCTGCATTTCATTTCATCAGCCCCACCTAGACAGATTGGATACTACTCAGTGGAGATTCTACCTTCCTTCATGACCTCTGGATCCAGGTTACCTCTTGAAAGCTTGTAAGCCGGTCACTTCTTGCCTTTGTAGCCCCCCAACTTTGGGTAGCCAATGTTCAAGTTGCCCATCCCTGTCTACTCTGTGTGTGAAGGGGGTGGGAATGATCCTTGCTGTAAAGATCTGTTCCCTCTTTTGAGATACTGCATCCATAGGGTATAGGTCAAGTTCATCAAATTGTATCAGATTACTCTTTGTTTCCTCTTCTTTATTCTTCTGGTTGAGCTCTGATCATCCAGTCATTGAAGCCAGACCAAGTGGGTATTATCTGCAAGTGTGAGTGCTCTTGTGCATATGCCCTCTCTTCTTAAGTGGGTATTATCGAAATGCAGTTCTTTTTGAAGGGGTACTGAATTTCTGTTTGGGGTGAGGTAAGATTTTGGAAATGGAGAGGGGTAGTGGTAGTACAACATGGTAACTGTGAATCAAATTTTCTGAACTGTACACTTGAGATGGCAAACATTTATTTTACCACAATATACACTTTTAAAATCAGTATTTTTAGGATTTCTGTTTTAATTTCTTGTATGATAGTGATAGTTGACCTTCTAAGAAGCAGTAAATATCCATATCCAGAAGAAACATTAGTTAATATAAAAAGACCCAGAAATAACAGATGATGTAACTAGCAGATAAGGATATTAAAACAAATAAAACTATGTTAAGATCATTTAAAAAACCATGAACACAAGAAACAGAAGACATTAACAAGGAGCCCCCAAATGGAACCCCCAGAGGTAAAAAAGATTTGAAATGAAAATTTCACTGGTTGAGATAAACAGCATGTTAAAGTTTACAAATAAAAGATTAGGGAAGTTGAAGGCAGAGTGTGGCAGGCAAAATTCCAAAATGGCCTCCAAGATTCCTGCCCTGGATGATAATCCATTTCTTTTGAATGTGACTGAAATCTTGATGTTATTGTTGTTGTTGTTAGGTGCCATCGAGTCGGTACCGACCCATAGCGACCTTATGCACAGCAGAACAAAACACTGCCTGATCCTGGGCCAACCTCACTATTGTTGCCACACTTGAGTCCATCGATGCTGCCACTTGGCCAATCCATCTCACTAGGGGTCTTCCTCTTTTTCTCTGACCCTCCACCTTACCAAATATGATGTCCTTCTCTAGCAACTGGTCCCTCCTGACAATATGTCCGAAATATGAAGTACTATATAACAAAGGTGATAATAATAGCCACTCTCATGATTGCATTATGGAAGACTCCATCATACCAGACTGAAGAGAGTCTTTCCTGTTGGCCATGTTCAGCCAACATGTTCAGCCAACAGCCAGCAAGAAAATGGGCAAAGTCAGTCCTACAACTGCCAGGAACAAAATTCTGCCAAGAATCAGTGAGCCTCAGATGAGTTCACAACCCTAGATGACACCTTGATTTTAGCTTTCTGATACCCTCAGCAGAGGACCCAGCTAACAAAGGCAGAAACTGTGAGATAAATGACTTGTGTTGTTTCTAGTTGGTAGGTTTCTGTTTGTTACACACCAACATAAACTGCAATAAAAAGTACACTGTGGAATAAGGATCATTCAAAAGGAAGTACGGAAACAAAACAAGCTAAAAAGAAAAACAAATGGCGCTTCAGATTCCTATGAGACAAACATCAAACTGTCTTAACATTCATGTAACTGGAATCCCAAAAAGGGGAGTAAAGTAGAAACATATTTGATGAAATGCAGACTGAAACTGTTTCTAAATTTGGTGAAGATTAAACTCCCAACAGATCAAAAATTTCAACTAACCTAAACAGGATAAATACACACACATTCTCTCTCAGTATCATATATATATATATGATACTATATTATACATACATATATATATGTATGTATGTATAATATAGTCACACACAAATATAAATAAACCACAATCAAATTACTGAAAACCAGTAATAAAAGGGACAATCATCATGCACAGAGGAAAAAAGAAAACATTAATGACTTCATAAGAAACTATATTAAGAAAGAAGACAAAGCAGTGATCCCTTTAGACTGCTGAAAAATGCACCTTGAAGGATAGAGAGGCAATGAAGGCCTTTTGCTGGTTGCAGCAAGTGCATGCCCATCCTGGAGGTAGTTGTGATGTAAGATGTGGCACTCTGTATTTACTGTTCAAAGTTCTGTTCTCCTCAACCCAAATGGGGCTAGGCTATATTATTAGCTGAGGTCTTGGCTTCTGTCTAGTCTTCTTTGTTCCTTCCCTGGTTCTAAACCTGGTCCTACACCTTCTAAGTGTCTCTTGGAGGTACCCAAATAACCTTTCAATAAACTTTCTTTCTGTATAGATTAGACAAATTGGTTTCTAAAGCATTCAATTAAGAACTCTTAAAAGCTGGAAAACTTCATTTTCAGTATTATAAAATATTGAATGTCACAGACAGTGTAAAAAGATGATCCAAGTAATACACAGTCACTGTACCAGAAAGAATTGGTTGGTGTTCAACCATTTCAAGAGATAGCTTAAGATCCAGAACCAATGGAACTGAAAAAAGAACAAGCTGCACTGAAGGCCCTGGTGAAAAACAAGACTCCAGGAATTGATGGAATTGATGGACTACAAAAGGAAATGTTTCTACCAACTGATGCAGCACTAGAGGTGCTCACTCATCTGCCAAGAAATTTGGAAGACAGTTCCCAGGAAAAAAATCCATAGTTGGGTCCATTCCAAAAAAAAGTGACCCAGTAGAAGATAAAAATCATAAAACAGTATCATTAATCTCACATGGAAGTAAATTTTGCTGAAGACAGTTAAAAATAGTTGTAGCAATATACTATAACAGTGTATCTTTGTCAACATACTGTTAGAATCATTCATGCCAGACTCAGAAGAGGATGTGGAACTAGGGATATCGCTGACATCAGATGGATCTTGAATGAAAGCAAAGAATACCAGAAAATGCTTACTTGTGCTTTATTGACTATGCAAAGGCATTTGACTGTGTGGACCATAACAAACTATGGATAACATTATGAAGAATGGATATTCCAAAACACTTAATTGTTATCAGGAGGAACCTGTACCTAGATCAAGAAGCAATAGTTAGAACAGAACAAGGGGACACTGAATGGTTTATAATTAGGAAAAGTATATGCCAGGGTTGCATTCTTTCACCATACTTATGCATTGGGGTGCTTGTTAACTGCAAGGTCAGCAATTCAAATCTACCAGCTGCTGCACTGGAGACAGATGAGGCTTACTGCTCCCATAAAGATTTGTTACCTTGGAAACCATATATAGGGTCACTATGAGCCGGAACTGCTTGAATGGTACACCACCACCATTCACCACTATATGCTGAGCAAATAATCTGAGAATCTGGACTATATGAAGAAAACTTGACATCAGGATTGAGGAAGACTCATTAACAATGGTGGCATGCAGATGACACAACCTTGCTTACTAGGAGTGAAGAAGACTTGATATACTTACTGATGAAGATCAAAGACTACAGCCTTCAGTATGGATTACACTTCAATGTAAAGAAAACAAAAATCCTCACAACTGAATCAACTAATTAGCATCATGACAAATGGAGAAAAGATTGAAGCTGTGAAAGACTTCATTTTGATTGAATTTACTATCAATGTTCATGAAAGTAACAGTCAAATGATATATTGTATTAAGTAAATCAGTTGCAAAAGTGTTAAAGTGTTAAAGCTCTTTAAAGTGTTCAAGAACAAAGATATCACTTTGAGGAGTAAGGTACACTTGACCCAAGCCATGGTATTTTCAATTGCCACATGTGCATAAGAAAGTTGGACAATGAATAAGGAAGACTGTAGAAGAATTGATGCATTTGAATTACAGTGTTAGTGAAGAATATTTAACATATCATGGACTGCCAAAAGAACAAAGAAACCTGTGTTGGAAGAAGTACAATCAGAATGCTTCTTAGAAGTGAGGACTGTGTGACTCAGTCTTTCGTACTTTTGACATGTTGTCAGGAAGGACCAGTCCCTGGAGAAGGATATCATGCTTGGTAAAGTGGGATGTCAGCAGAAAAAAGAGGAAGGCCCTCAAAGAGATGGACTCAAACAGTGGCAGCAACAGTGGACTCAAACATAACAATATGAGGATGGCACAGGGGCCAGGCAGTGTTTCTTTCTGTTGTGTATAGGGTTGCTATGAGTTGAAACAGATTAAACAGCATCTAATTAATTACAGGGTCGCTATGAGTCAGAACCGACTCCATGGCACATAACAACAACAACAAAACAATATTTTCTTATCACTATTTCATTCTGGTGGGGGCTTCAAGTCTTTTTATAAGGTATTACAGCCAACTTCCTCGTCCAAATTTATATAGTTCTTCAAATTTTCCTTTAGAACATCTCTCTTACCCATTTATATATTCTATTTGTTTCTTTGCTGGACCAATGAAAAGCATAAGGTGACTAGAATATTGTCTTCAGACCTTTTAATACAGCTTCTTAATTTTTTTTTAATATAGTCTTCATAAAATTCATGTAACACAGAGTTACCTGAAGTCTCTCTGTCACTTCAAGATTGGAGTGAGCTTGGATTGAATTGTTAGTTTTAAAGTATATGAAAGACTATTGCCTTCCACTTAATTTCTTTTTTAAAACTTGTTTTTCATGGTTTCTTTAGATTCATTCCTAAAACCCTAAATGCTCTATCAGTTAGACCCTCTGGCAGCCAGTACATAGGAGCCCAGGATCATCACTGTTATCCATAAAGAAGAAATCAAATTACTTCATAATTTTGTGACTATCCCAACTTTACCTAAGACTTCAGGAGCGATGGAAGGAAATTATATCATGTACTGCACAGTCTTCTGCTGCCTAACTGATTTCTCTTTGACACTGTACTGGCTTCCAAAATCAGTAATGCACTGTGTAACTATCCCCACAATCCCCTGAAAAAGAAACTCTAGTTTCTCTTCTTCTTGCTGGGCTTATCTCATGTCCTCCTTCCTTAGTTTCTAAGCAATTCTGCTGTATAAACATTTGTCCATTCCCTTACACAGAAATCTAATGGTATCTCTCCGTTGTTTGAAATTCATATAGATATAGTAGTGGGCTAAGCTTTTTTTACTTTACCTCTGTACCTGTGGTAGCTTATGGACATTTTGTCTTCTTGTTTCGCTTTCCACCTGCTTAGGCACAGAACCTAGGCTCTAGTCCCACATTCCAGAATCTCTGCAGTTTTCTCTCTACCTCCTCCAAAATACTCCATTCACAACTGAAGTCCTACAAAGCCCCTTCAACCCTAATAGACGTGGCAGCAGTTACTGTGTCCTGAACCTAGGCGCTTAGATGAATGGTGTTAATTGGTACACTTTAATTGGCTCCTAACTGCTCTTTTCCAGGTCAGCCCACCTCTTTTTTGGGTCACTGTCTGGTGTGGTGCTGTGGGATAAAGTGCTGGCCTACAAGGTTGGTTTGAACTACAAGGTGGTGGTTTGAACTCCCCAGCCGCTCCTTGGAAACTATGAGTCAAAACTGACTCGATGGCACTTAATAACTCTATAGATAGCTTCTAGTTATCTCATCACCTCTTAGACTGCCTGGCATAAAATGAGTACACAACAACTATGTGATGAGAGAATACATAAATATGAGGGTAAGTCAAAAAGTATTGTTACAAAATCAGAGAAATCTTTAATTAAACAAAAATACCAAAAGTGTGAAGCTATTGTTACTTGATGTATGTTCCATCTAGGTCTATAAACTTCTAAAGGTGTTTCTTTCACTCTAACACTTCCCTAATTGACACCATAACAAAATGGGAGTTTTGGCATCCTCAAGGATTTGAGAAGTCTTTGAAAACTTCTTTCAGTTTGGAAAACAAAAAGAAATCTGAAGGGGCAAGATCAGGGTTACAGTGTGGTTGAACTAAGGTTTCCCATTACAATTCTTGTATGACAGCCCTTGTTCCTCTTGAAGAATGAGTAAGTGCACTGTCATAATGGAAAAAAAAAAAAAAAAAGATTCCTCAGTGCAACTTTCCTGGGCTTTTTTTTCCTCACCAAAGCAGTTTTCAATACTGCAAACTTCTTCATAATAAGTTCCTGTGATCATCTTTTTTCCTTTGGGAAAATCATCTTATCACTATTTCAATGTATTGGAGGTTGTGGTCAGGTTACCTTGTACTTTTTCTAAGAGAGGTAATGGGTAAGTGGAGATATAGTAGTGGGCTAAGCTTTTTTTACTTTACCTCTGTACCTGTAGTAGCTTATGGACATTTTGTCTTCTTGTTTCGCTTTCCACCTGGAAAGAAAACAGACCATTCATAAGCTTCACAGGCTTCTTCATAAATCAGCAATAATTTCTGGCGTTGGTCAGAAAAGATACATTATACCAAGAAAATTTTCCCTTTAAGCAGAGGATTTGTGCTCACCCCTTTTAAAGGATATGTCACAAATGAAATGATAAACCATAATGGTGTCTAAATGATCATATTCATCTTAAGATAACCTTCTTCAACCAGAAGTCTCCCCTTTTATCTTGAACCTTGCAATATTATAGGGTTTTCCCAGACATGTCTTTCAAATGTAATTTGCTTGGGCATATGAAAAAAATTATGGCCCAGATAGAAGCAGATAATTTTCTCAGGGTCACTACATAACTAAGGGTGCAGCCAGAGCCCAGACCAGTCATCCCAGTTGGTAAACTTTCTCTTTTTGCTGCACCTTGCTATCTTCAGCTTCAGAAAGGCAGCAGTATGGAGGAACTTGCTCTGGTCAACCCGTCCTCTCCCAAATGCTACTCATTAAACCCATAATACAGGATACTAACTGCGTTTAGTAAGAGTCGTGTCCTTCAAATACTTTCTGTGTTAAGAGAAAGTAGGGGAATGAGGAGTAGCAAATAGCATGAAAAGAAACAAATATATATTATAAATGTCCATCTACCTAAGAACTTTCCAAGTGGGATTGCAAAAAGAATGTAACTCCTTTTCCCCCCCTCCCTCAACTTTCCATTTGGTGGTTGTGTCACTGAGTCAGTTCCAACTCGGAGTGACCCTGTATAGTAGGGCTTCTGAGGCTATACATTTTATGGGAGCAGAAAGTCCCATCTTTTTCCTGTGGAGCAGCTGATAGGTTTGAACTGCTGACCTTGCACTTAGCAGTCAAACTTATAACCCATTACACTACCAGGGTTCCTTCTACTTTCAACAAGAACCATTATTTTTATTTCCCCATGCGATCAAAAACTGGTTGGGTATCCAGGGAGAGTCCAGTTACCCAATGAGACATAGATAAAGTGACATTTTCACATGCAATAAAAAGGTATGCCAAGGGAAATAAACCTTTTAAATTTATTAATATATACTTACCAATGAAAACAAAAGATAGCAAAAATGAAAATTGCAGAAATACTATCTATGAGAAGCCATATGAACATATAGTACCTTGGTGTCTGTAAAACATGAAACAAATCATAGTTAAAGGATTCTGTAGTTGAAAGGAATTTTAGATCATGTGGGCTAAATGTCTCACTCTGCTACCAGGGCAAGGAGAGGGACAGGATTAAGGCCAGACCAGGTGGAGGAGCACTGACTGATATGGTGGTCTCAAACACAGAGTACTGGCTGCTATCCTAAGAGTTACCCCTTACACATGCAGGGAGCTTTACAAGGGACAAAACTTCATACTTTTAATATCACTTGACTCTCAAGACATCTGAGAAAGTCACTTCACAGAAAAACTTCCCAACTATATAGATGTGAAACTGACACCCATAGAAGTTCCGCAGCAAATCTATTCTGGACCAGGACTACAGCCTAGGTTTCTTCATTTCTAATCGTGTTTCCATGGCATGAGTTCCTAAATTTGGCTATTGAAATCTACCTGGGCAGATTTCAGTAATATGGGTCCCTGTATCACGCTACAGACCTTCTTTTTTTAATGCTTTATTGTGAATTATGAGATAGTTTACATGGGAGGACATCAGCTTCATATATATCCTGTCGTATATCGTTTTCTTGCCTTGGTTACAATCCCTTCCATGTATCATCGATCAACCAAAGAGTATACCCCGCAAGCCTGCCCCCCTTTCATCTGCACACAGCCCCTCTCTCTCTCTAGGTACAAAGTCTCCAAATGCTCCATCTCCCCACGTCATCGTCTCGGCCTCCATCCCTGGCATCACTGCTTCTCTGAGTAGAGTTCCGTTCTCTGCTCTTTTCCTTTGATGGTCCCAGGGACCTCCACTCCTAGACTGTAAGGTTAATCACTCCCCTCCCTTTGCCCCAAAACATCCACCTTTACATTTCCAGCCCTTACAATCAGTCCTGATAACAATCGCAAGAGACCTATCAGTCCTGATATTGTATCGCAAGAGACCTATCCAAATCTCCTTTCATTAGCCCTGACTAGGCAGAGTGGATACTAATTGGAGATTCTACTTGCTCAACGCCCTCTGAATCTAGGTACCCTCTTGAAAGCTTGTAAGCCAGTCACTTCTTGGCTCTGTAGGCCCCCATTCTGGGTAGCCAATGTGCAAGTTGCCCATCCCTGTCTACTCTGTGTATGAAGGGGGTGGGAATGATCCTCGCTGTGAAGATTTGTTCACTCTTTTGAGCTATTGCTTCCATAGGTGTATGTCAAGTTCATCAAATTGTGTCACATTATTCTTTTTTCTCTCTTCTTTCTCTAATCATCCAGCCACTGAAGCCAAATCAAGTGGGTATTATCTAAGTGTGGGTGTACTTATGCATGTGCCCTCTCTTCTTATCAGCTGGATGCTTCACTCTCCACTCTAGTCCTCTGTGGCTATGTCGCTGACTCTGGGTCAAGAGTACCCTGGACTTGGCACACTGCTGGCCAACCAGGTCTCCATCTGGGTTCACAGGAGTCTTGAGCATTGTAGGGCTTAGTTTGTAGCTTCATTGCTGTTTTCCCTTCACTTCCCCTTATCAGTGACAAATGTGGTCATCAATCAGGGCATGCATTTCCATTAAGCCTTAGTCTTAAGGCCCTGAGGGGGACCCGACCACTTGTCTTGATGTATCCTGGGCGAGCCACTTGTTTGTACTTGTAGTAATCAGTCAGCCTGCCTATATTGTTTTGTGTTTTTCTTGTCAGTCTTTCTTTCAGGAAGTATCTTATGTTCTTCTGGCCACTCAAGGCTGGTCTGCTTGTCCTTTCAAGTGGACCTTTCCCCTCAGAAGATTTTGGATGCTGTTCAGGATTTCACCTATGGTCTTGTGTAATGCAAGGGCTCCACAGGAGCTGGGCATGTTGAATCCCCCTTTTAGGTATTCCAATCAGTTATAGGCAGAAGACGGACCTACAAGCTTTCTATGGTGGTATTTCTGGCTATTCCTTTCTCTCCTCTCCAGTGTCTATTTTATAGCGATATACCAGGGAAACTAAGATTCAACAGACAGCCAAGCATCTTATTTCCCCCTTTTCTCCATTCAAACCATGTCTCAATCTCTGTATCCCAGAGCCCTGTTGTTCCAAGGTTTTTGCATACATCATCATTTGCCTCTGTCCCACTTCAGTTTCACATTCATCCTATCGTATTTCATTTCACTGCAATGATTATAATCCCCTCCATGCCTCATCAAATAACCAAAGGATACACCCCACACGCCCGCCCCCGCCCCCCGGCTGTCAGCAAACAGCTCCTCTCCCTCCCTGAGTCCTGTGTCCCCAGCCACTCCATCTGTCCATGCCATCATAGTCCCCTGCCATTTTGGGTCTGGGCAGTTTCCTGCCCCCTCCCCCAAGGTATTCCAGTTAGTTATAGGTTGGATCCGGGTCAACATGTTTTCTGTTGTGTTGCTTCTGGCTATTCCCCTCCACCCCACAAGTGTCTATTTCACAATGGTAGGCAAGGGAGACCAAGATTCAAAAGACAGTCAAGCATCCTAGCATTGTACCCCTATTTTCTCCCTTTCAAGCCATGCCTCATTCCCTGTTATCCTGAAGCCCTGTTATTCCAGGGTTATGCATACCTCGTCATTTAGCTCTGTCTCACCTAGCCCATGCGAACCTGCCCAACCGTTCTCCCATCTGCTTTGTTCTTCTTTTCCCCCTCCCCCTTCTTGTGTATTGTCAGCCTCTTGCCCCACCCAACCACCTAACACGCTCCCAGGCTCTCCTGTCTATTCTCTACCCAGTGCACTTTCTTCCCCTCTCTTGCCACCTTTCATCCCATACGTACCAGTGATCAGCACTTATATTTTTAGATTTCCCCCTCCTTTTTTTTTTAATGTTTTATTGTGAATTATGTGATAGCTTACATGGAGAACATTAGTTTTACATTCATCCTGTCGTATATCGTTTCATTGCCATGATTACAATCCCTTCTATGTATCATCAACCAACCAAAGGGTATACCCTGCAAGCCTGTCCCCCAGTAGTCAACACATAGCCCCTCTCCCCCTCTGTGTCTAGAGTCCCCAACTGCTCCATCTCTCCACGACATCATCTGTGCCTCTATCTCTGGAGTCACTGCTTCTCTGCCGTTGATGGTCTTAGGGACCTCTGCTCCTAGACTGGAGAGTTAATCACTCCCCT